GTATTTTACTACTGCAGATGGCATACATGTTTAAGTTCTTTGCAAGGCATGCAGATTTAATTGTGGATTTCTTACATTGTGTGACATTAAAAGAAAATGTGTGTGAAGTTTTTCTATTATTAGAAAAACTGTTCTGATTACTTATTTTGTACAAGAGTATAAAATGAAGGATGGCAATAATTACTTCATGTCTAACATATTATTTATTAAACGACAGAATTGCCTTCTCTTATAGGGCATTTATAATAAATTAGCAAATACTAGAAATACCAGAATTGTGTATTTCTTTTGTTCTTGTAGGAAAAAATGCACAAGTTGTTAGAAGTGTACGAACGCCTTGGTGGAGAAGAAGATATTGTTAATCCTGCCAATGAATTGATTAAAGAGGGCCATATTCAAAAACTGTCAGCAAAGAATGGCACAGCACAGGATAGGTATTTATTTCTGGTGAGTCACTTGGTTTCTTTGATATAAAATCTTTTACTCTGTCCACAAAAGCTCCTTTGACTAAGTTAATCAATCTTTGACACACCTGCCCACAATCAAGAAATTCTATCAATAGTATTTCTATCTTTCTTAGCTGGCTTGTGTTATCGGTATTGAAAGAGTATTCCAAATGTTTTAGGAATAGTTGATATTTGGCTTTTTTCCCCCTTAGTCTTAGCCAGGGGGTTTTGTGTGCCTGTGTGTGAATAAATTGTTGGGGTTTTTTTGCTGGTGTGTTTATTGGTTTTTTATGTGTTTGAATGTGAATACTGCTATTAAAGAGAATCTGGGTAGAACAAACAATGTTATTTAGCAAATGTTGTTTAGCATGCAAAGCTGTGCTTTCCTAGTTATGTTTACCTTACCTTTGATCAATTGGTGAGAATCTTGATAAGGGGACAAAAACACACCAGGAATAAGCCAGAATTCTGAGCTCAGACATAAGCATGGGTAAAACAGGGTGTAATTTGTAAAACAACTTCAATCCACATTATTAAGTTTCTAATTGATTGCCATAGTATGAACTGTGGTTTGTGGTCTGATATGTTTATAGTCAAAATAAATTATTCTGCAACTTTAGCACAAAACTATAATTGGGAATCTGCAAATAATGTGCAAGGCTTTACCTATCTTTCTATCTAAAAACTATTTTCATGTGCAATTTTTGTTCTGTTATATATGATACAGCAATATACTTTATTGTCCCTGAATCCTCTATTGTGAAGTTATATATGAAAACATAAATTTGGATTTATTAAATATAATAAAAAGAATATGTAAACAAGAGATGTTGTCAATAAGAGATAAGGAAGCATAAATGAGTAATTCTGGAGTTTGCTATCTTGCAATCTTATCTAAATATAGATAGTCCTCAACTTACAACCACAACTGAGCCCAGAATTTATGTTGCTAAGTGAAATTGTTAACTGAATCACTGCAGTTGTTAATTTAGTTACATAGTTGTTAAGTGAATCTGGCGTCCACATTGNCTGGGAAAGATTGAGGGCAAAAGAAGAATGGGATGACAGAGAATGAGGTGGCTGGATGGAGTCATTGAAGCAAAAGGCATGGAGGAACATTGTTCATGGGGTAATGATGGTTCAGACATGACTTTGCAACTAACAACAAAGTTTATAATGGGGGAGCAGCACGTTGTCTGTTGCCAACACATACAAAAACCTGTCAGATCCTTCCTAGGATTTACACATGGGTATGAAGTCCAGCCAGGCAGGAAGTTATGCTGCCTTCATTTGTCCTTGAAATGGGGGATGTCCCTCCCTCACCCGGAGATTAGATGGACCGTACTAGAAGCCCCAGTTCCCAGAGAGTAAGCTTATAAATAAATGGCTCCAGTTTCCCCTTTTATCAAAATGATCACGTTCACACAGTTCTAAAGACCCTAGTGGTATATAGAACCAACACTGGATTAAAAAGAACACTGTGAAGTGTTTTTATTTATAATAAAGGTGACAAAGTAAGATTTGAGAAAATAATCTGTCTGCGTGCATCAAGTTACTTGACACTGAACTCTATAAAATCATTAGCTTTAAAATAAGATGCAAGGACATGGGAGAATGGAAGCAAATAGAAAAAAATCACACACACACACAAACTCTCCTTCATTCATCTGCCATATTTTTTGCAGCCCACTTCCTCTTATTGGTTCCAGTTCTTTCAGGACTTTTTGATTATTGGGTTCAATCCCAGCCCGATCAGGAAAATGTACTTTTACAGTGTTTTTGGATGTACCGGTGCACTGGACTCCCTGGGGGAAAAGAAATGTCTATCTTTTTCTCTGTCTAAATCCCACCCATCTGCCACTCATTGAAAGAGAATAGTTGCTTTAATTACAGATTACTTAAGAGTTGTCAGTTAGTCATCAGCCTTCTGGATCTACTGCAATTTTAGCAGTGTTTCTCTTTAGAATGTCACTTGTGTCAGTTACTTAATAATGATGTTATTTGAATAGAGTATGTATGACCTTTGTTTTTAATAGAAAGGAAACAATCCTGTTAAAATTAGTGTTCTTTAAAATGCACAGGAGGGGCATGATGTTAAATTGAAACATCATATTTTCATATGGTGTTGCGAATGTAGTAATTCTCTTTTACTTGATAAGAGATAATTAACCAGTTCAACAGAGGCGAATTCTGCCACTTGGTGGTGATAATAGTTAGCAGACCAGAAGCCACCTCCTTCATACTGTTCAACATGCTAAAAAAATACTTTGCACATTGAGATATAACCACAATTAGTTTGAAAAACTAAAGTGGTAAAGTTAATGGGGGAAAATAGATGGGATTATATATGTTAGTAAATGATCCTCAATAGTTTTTTTTTTAATTCCAAAGCAATAGAGATTGTTATTACTGCTGCTGCTACTTTAAATTTGCAGGCGGTCCCTACCTTAGTGGGAAATAGCCCTCTATTCCTTGACGTTTTTGTGTTGAATTTGTTGACTTATAGCTAAAATGAAAACTCCCAATACATTCAAAAGTCTGAAATAGTGCGTAGAATCAAATATATGAGACTTAATTATATTTTCCTGTAATTTTATCAGCCATTTGGAATAGCTTTCTTTTCTTTTCTTTTTAATGTTGTAAGCTTTGTTGAAGAGACAAGGCGATTCAAAGTGGGTAATGGACATGACATCAACCAGGACAAGAAGCAAGCTTAATTTCCCATAAGCATACATGTAATTAACATTTAGTTAAATGAAATTAAATTCTTCATGTATTTAGTAATTTTTAATATCTTTCCCATTAGAAGTTCCAATCTAGTGGCAGTTTTTGTAAAGGCTCTGGCAGATCATACCCTAAGAAATGAATTTGTATGCTGCATTTAAATAGACTGTTGCAAGCAGACAGAGAAAACGGGATGATTTTTTCACTTATAACAATGTCCAAAATTATCCCTGATGGGACAGCATGCATATTTTTCTCTTGCTTCCTCCCAGCAGGTGTTGTCTGCTGAGCAATAAGAGGGACAAGTGTTCAAGTTTGTCCATGGATTTCACATAGGGATATCCGTACAACATATCTATATATCTATTTATCTATATCTATATCTATATCTATATCTATATCTATATCTATATCTATATCTATATCTATATCTATATCTATATCTATATCTATAT